AAGCACTAGGGCCATCTTCCACTGTTTTCCCAAATGCATTAGCAGGGAGCTGGATCAGAAGTGGAACAGCCAGAAATCAAACCAGTGCCCACATGGGATGCTGGCACTACAGAGGTGGCTTAACCCATTTATGCCACAGTGCCAGGCCCCATCAATTTTTAATCTGTTTTTATATTTAAAGTGGTTTCTTGCGGGTAACATATAGCTGGGTCTTATTTCTTAATTCAACCTGACAACCTCCATCTCTTTTTTAAAAAATATTTATTTGAAAGAGTTAGAGTCAGCAACTGACAGAATGGGAAAAAATATTTGCAAACTATGCAACAGATAAAGGGTTAATAACCAGAATCTACAAAGAGATCAAGAAATTCCACAAAAACAAAACAAACAACCCACTTAAGAGATGGGCCAAGGACCTCAATAGACATTTTTCAAAAGAGGAAATCCAAATGGCCAACAGGCACATGAAAAAATGTTCAAGATCACTAGCAATCAGGGAAATGCAAATCAAAACCACAATGAGGTTTCACCTCACCCCGGTTAGAATGGCTCACATACAGAAATCTACCAACAACAGATGCTGGCGAGGATGTGGGGAAAAAGGGACACTCACCCACTGTTGGTGGGAATGCAAACTGGTCAAGCCACTATGGAAGTCAGTCTGGAGATTCCTCAGAAACCTGAATATAACCCTACCGTTCGACCCAGCCATCCCACTCCTTGGAATTTATCCAAAGGAATTTAAATTGGCAAACAAAAAAGCGGTCTGCACCCTAATGTTTATCGCAGCACAATTCACAATAGCCAAGAACTGGAACCAACCTACATGCCCATCAACGGTAGACTGGATAAAGAAATTATGGGATATGTACTCTTTACAATACTATACCGCAGTAAGAAACAACGAAATCCAGTCATTTGCAACAAAGTGGAGGAATCTGGAACACATCATGCTGAGTGAAGTAAGCCAGTCCCAAAGGGACAAATACCATATGTTCTCCCTGATCGGTGACAACTGACTGAACACCAAAAAGGAAACCTCCTGAAGTGAAATGGACACTATGAGAAACGGTGACTTGATCAGCATAGCCCTGACTGTTAATGAACAACTTAATACATTATCCCTCTTAGTATTTTTTTTTTGTCTGTTCTACTTAATATGACTGGTTTAATTCTGTAATTATCACACAGTTATTCTTAAGTGTTGAAAATTAACTGAAATGTGACCCCTGTTAAACATAAGAGTGGGAATAAGAGAGGGAAGAGATGTATAATTTGGGACATGCTCAAGCTGACTTGCCCCAAATGGTAGAGTTAGAAACATACCAGGTGTCGCTCCCCATCTTCGTGGAGGAATGACACAGGACCCTGCGCTGTTCTTTTGTCTGCTCGGCCCTCCCCGGGTTTGCTGCTGGTTCTTCCCGGGTTGGCTACCGACCCTTCCACCTCCGTGGAAGGGCGGTTCCCCCTGCCACTTTCCCCACTTCCGCGGGGGAGCGGCACACCGCCGGCCGGCTCTCTCGGGGGCTGCTCGGGGGCTGCTCAGATGTTCCTCTTAGATGTTCCTCGTGCATGTTGTCTCTCTCCTCCTTTATAGTCCTCTTCCGCCAATCCCAACTCTGCTACCCACACGCCGAGTACGCTGCTCTCCTCCAATCAGGAGCAGGTCCTGCTGTTTATTGGTTGAACTGGAGGCAGCTGTGTAGAAGCTGTTTCCTCCTCTCCCAGCACCATACTGTGGGAGAGCAGATGCATAGAATAAGTCTTAATTCCAGTAACTTAGTCTAGTCCAAGTTGCTCCCAGTTGCTCCCCACACCAGGGGATTCCAATTCAATCCCATCAAGGTGGCATGTACCAATGCCATCTCACTATTCCAAGTGATCAATTTCAGTTCACAATTGATCATAATGAAAGGACTAAGAGTCAAAGGGAGCACATAAACAAGTCTAGTACCTGCTAACACTAACCGATAGAATAAATAAAGGGGAGAGTGATCCAACATGGGAAGTGAGATACTCAGCAGACTCATAGAATGGCAGATGTCCTAAATAGCACTCTGGCCTCAGAATCAGCCCTAAAGGCATTCGGATCTGGCTGAAAAGCCCATGAGAGTATTTCAGGCATGGAAAGCCAAGACACTCTGGCAAAAGATCTCTGTGAGTGAGATCCCAGTGGAAAGAACAGGTCTTCAAAGAAGGAGGTACCTTTCTCTGAAGGGAGGACAGAACCTCCACTTTGACTATGACCTTGTCTAAACAAGATAAGAGTCGGAGAACTCAAGGGGCTTCCATAGCCTTGGAAACTCATGACTGGTGCATAGGGAGATTACTGATGCCATAAACAGGAGTGTCAATTTGTAAAGTCAACAACAGGAGTCACGGTGCACTTACTCCTCATGTAGGATCTCTGTCCTTAATGTGCTGTACATTGAGATTTAATGCTATAACGAGTACTCAAACAGTATATTTCACTTTGTGTTTCTATGGGGGTGCAAACTGTTGAAATCTTTACTTAATGCATACTAAACTGATCTTCTGTAAAAAAAAAAAAAAAAAAGAAAAAAAGAAAAAAAAAAGAAAAAATTATCCATTCCCAACTTGACTCTCACTGGGATTAAACATGACAATAGGTCTGATCTGATTTCATCATCATTTAAAAAATCATCTATCATTTTTCACTTTATGTTTCTGTGTGGGAGCAAACGGTTGAAATCTTTACTTAATGTATACTAAGCTGATCTTCTGTATATTAAGATAATCGAAAATGAATCTTGATGTGAATGGAAGGGAAGAGGGAGTGGGAAAGGGGAGGGTTGCAGGTGGGAGGGACGGTATGTGGGGGAAGCCATTGTAATCCATAAGTCGTACTTTGGAAATTTATATTCATTAAATAAAAGTTAAAAAAAAAAAAGTTAGAGTGAGAGGTAATAGAAATCTTCCATTCCCTGGCTCACTCCCCAGATGGCCACAACACCCAGGGCTGGGCCAGACCAAAGCCAGGAACAGAGTTTCACCCAGGTCTCCCATGTTGGTGGCAGGGGCCCAAGCACCTGGGCATTCTTTCACTGCTTTTCCCAGGCCATGAGGAGGGAGCTGGATGGGAAGTGGAGCAGATTGACTCAAACCAGTGACCATATGGGATGCCAGTGTCTCAGGCAGTGGCTTTTCTATTATAATTAATGGCTTAACAGACAAGATGGGAATATCTATATTGGTATAGTGAGAATATCAAAATGTTAGTGGGGTGTTACTAGGATTTTGGACTCATAGATAACTTCTGGTTGATTTTTATTTCCAGATCTATTTTTAATACACTACCTTCATAAAAAGTATGTAAATATTTTAAAACTTAAAAACTATACAGACTTTGCTTTAGCTCTTGGCATGTCATTCCATTTGCTCAACTACTGGTCTCCTATCTCATTCAAAGTCATACTTGAGGGGCTGGTGCTATGGCGCAGCGGGTTAAAAACCTGGCCTGAAGTGCCAGCATCCCATATGGGCACCGGTTCTAGTCCCGGCTGCTCCTCTTCTGATTCAACTCTCTACTATGGCCTGGGAAAAGTGTCCTTGGGACTCTGCACCCACGTGGGAAACCTGGAAGAAGCTCCTGGCTCCTGGCTTCGGACAGGCGCAGTTCTGGCTGTTGCGGCCATCTGGGGAGTGAACCAGCGAATGCAAGACCTGTCTGTCTCAACCTAACTCTGTCATTCAAATAAATAAATATTAAGAAAAAAAAAAAAGTCATACTTAAAGCAATGGCAAGCTAACTAGTTCTTCCACTTTCACCCCATTTATCTTTCTGACCTCACCACCATGTCTCCCCATTAACTGGGCTCCAACCAACACTAGCCTCTTTTGAGATTCCCATTTTTTGTTTGGTTCTTGTTTTTCATTTTTCCCTCATTGCCTTGCTGTCTCTTGAACAAATGAAACACTGCCCCCAATCTTCTAGGCTGTTCCCATGCCTGGAACATCCTTCCACCACTCATGGCTTGCTTTGTTACACTCTTTCCTGAAATTTCATTTTCTCAGTGAAACCCTACCCTACCAGCCTATCCAAATTGCATTATCTTTCCTTCTTGAAATTTGTGTTCTCTCTCCTGATTTCTAAACAGTCACCACCATGACATGTTTTTTGAAATGTTTCCAATTTATTGCTGGTTTTCCACTAAGCAATAAATATAAATCCCAAAGAGTGCCTGATCCAGAGTGTTATTACTTAACATGTTCATTGATGAGTTTGCACACACTTTCACTTATTTTTTAAGATTTATTTATTTGAAAGTCAAGTTACACAGAGAGAGGAGAGGCAGAGAGAGATCTTCCACCCGCTGGTTCACTCCCCAGAGCTGTACTGATCCAAAGCCAGGAGCCAGGAGCCTCCTCTGGGTCTCCCATGTGGGTGTAGGGGCCCAAGGACCTGGGCCATCTTCCTCTTCCTTCCCATGCCACAGTAGAGAGCTGAATCAGAAGAGGAACAGCCAGGACTCAAACAAGTGCCCACATGAGATGCCGGCACCACAGGCGGTGGCCTTACCCACTATGCCACAGCGTCAGACCCTCATTTACTTTCAAAGCATATCTCTTTGAAAGCTGCATTTTGAGATATGAAGTGCCAAGCAATACTGACCATTGACTGCTTCATTTCCAGCCATGGAAGAAGTCACACAGAATAAAACAAGTGCCTCGGAGAAGCACACTGGGGGGTCAGGTGGATGGAGGTCATGAGTGATGTCATGATGGTCTCAGCCAGGGATACTTGAGGGGAATGCTCCAAGAGAAATGTGAGGCATGCAGCAGACTTAGCAGTTTAGTACCAAATTCTGAGTCCCAGGCTAATGACTCTAGAGGAAGGATGGGAATAAAACTACCTCACAGGCAAGAGAAAAACTACTCATCTACAAATACTTTTAATACCAATGCTGAGTTACTGCTGGAATCTAAAATTCATGTGTGGTGTAGGGAAGGCAAAGTAACAAAGTAACAGATGGCAGAGGTTGAGAGAGGCCAAATCATGGAAGGCCATGCTAATTTTATTAACTTATATAGTGCATAAAGTAAGTCTAGAATTTGAAATTACAAAGTTTTCTACAAATCAATAAGAAAATACAAATAACCTATATTAATCAGGACAGAAACCCAATTCAATTATCTTAAACAAGAAAGGGACTTTATTGGCTCACAAAACTTTAAAGTCCAGAGGTAGGGCAGGCTTTAGGCACAGCTGGATCGAGGGCCTCCAGAATAAAATGACATCAGAACTTATTCTTTTTCCACTTCTGCTAGCCTCCGAGTTTCTCAGACTGATTCTCTCCACCTGGTCCAAATTCAGGCTTCCATGGTCCTTGGGATCTCCAGACAGCCTTCTTTCCAGTAGTTCCAGAAGTTCTGTTGAGGGCTCTCCTTAGCCTGGCTAAAGTCCCATGCCCATTCTGCAATTGCTGTGGCTTGGAAGCTGTGGGACTCAGGAGGCAAGGCCTGGTCATGTGCTCACCTAAGCCACAGGGAATGGGTTCCCCACAATAAATAAGGATTCTGTTTCCAGAAGATGGGGAAAGAGATGCTGAACAACAAGAAACAACAGATACCCATACATAACCTAAACAGAAAAGCAAGTAAAGGGTACAACACTCCATGGTAAAACTACAGATGGCCATAAACATGGATATAACCCCAACCTCACCATTATCAAGTAAATGCAAAATAAGGAAGGTTTCTTTTTTCTTTTTTGCCCAACAGACAGAGACTACCAAGTGTAGGTAAAACTATATGGGGAAATAAGCACTTTCCACACAGTGAAAATAAGTTATAAAGGCCTTTGGTAAGGCGAAAATGGGTCTACCAGGAAGCAAACCCCAGGACTCCAACCTACAGATTCACACATTGAACAAAGATCCCATTCAAGATGTTTACACTGGCAGTGTAAGAGCAAGAGGAAAAAGGGAGGGGGAACACTTAAATAATGGCACTTTCATCCTATTCAACCACCAAAGAAATTTAAAGACCTCAGTACCTGTCCCTCCCCCTAAAAGAACAAGCTGCAGGACAACTCATGTATTTATTTATGTAAAAATCACTTATAAGTTATACTTATTAATATAGAAATGCATGGAAAAGGAACTAGATGGACATATACTAAACTGTGGGAAATGGAATACAATTAGAAGCACTAGGGAAGTCTCTTTGCTCTTATGTATCAACCAACTTAAGTTTCATGCAACAAAAAGGTAGTCATTCTCATTCTGTAATTTAAATAAAATGGCAAAAACAACTCACAACAAGGAATGCAAATAATAAGATATGAAAATGAGATAAATTTTCCAAGATTAGCAAACATTTTTAAGGATTCAGCCTTGGTGAGGACCATGGGCAAACAGGCACTCTTAACATCTATGGAGTTGTAAATTGTTAGTCTTTTTGGTAGTATTTCTCAAATGTCAAATGTACATTCTTTGACCTAATAAATCCATTTCTAGCTATATATCCTACAGAAATACTCACACAGGTAACAAAATATGTGCATAGGGCTGTTAACTATATTTTTATCCATAAAAATCCTAATTATCCACCAATATACAGTTGCTTAAAGTATATTCATACAATGGAATAATACACAGCTATGAAAAACAATGTGTATCATTGTGTGGAGGGGAGGCAAATGCCAGTGCAGTACTTATAAAATGGGGATGATGGCTGAGGATTAAGAGTGAATCCACGGTAAAAACACTTCAAACAGTGCCTGTACACAGCAACCAAGAGTTGGCTAGTAATATATTTTTGTTTAAGTATATATATGCTTAATCTGGAAGAACTAAAGACTTTTTCATTTATTTCTGTAAAAAATTCAAATGACCATATCTGATAGTTTTACATTTGTTAACCACAAAAGGACATATTTACTGAACAAAGTTTAACAGCCATCACTCATGGCATAGTTAAAAAAATGAAACAAAGCAAAAACAAAACCACCTCTGGAGTCCACAGAACTACATTTGAGTTTTACCTCTAACTGGCCAAATGCAAGTCACATGATCTGTCAATCTTGCTTCCCAGTCTATAAATTCTAAGATAGGTATAGTTGTCTAATCCTATCCCTGACATGTATTCTATTTCAATACATGTAGCCCTTCCCTCAATTTACAAAAATGTGACACACTGCTAAGTGACCAAATGCCAACAGGGTTTTAATGTGGAGAGCCTAAATAAAAAAAAAAAAAAAAATTGAGTAGCCACCAGCAAAATGCTCAGTGGCTAGTAGGCAGGTATCAGCAGCCTGCACACCCAAACATAACTGCTCACCTGAAAGCCAAACAAGGGCCCTAATTGTGCCACTGCTTGGCAACTGCCACATTACCACTCCATCAGAACTTGGCATTCCCCAAAATTACTGGTTATCTCTATAGGTACAAATAACCATCTGGATGAAATTAAAAAAATCACTAAGCAATTATTTTTTAAATCAATTTTTATAGTGAGGATCCAGCCTAACCAGAGATGTAACTACACAGCCCATCACTTCCTTTTCCTATGTACCACCATCCCAGTTTTGGAGGGAGGGGGCTCTAGTCCCTTTTCCCCAGAGCCTTGCCTAAGCCTCAGAATCCTTTCTGAACAATGTACAGCCATCAGAGCTGGAAAGACAAAAACAGTTTTGCCAGTTTTAATACTTTCTTTATGCTCTCACGTTACCAAATGTCTTTGGCATTTATGACAAATCCATCATAGGGAAGCTTCCTTGTACAGCAGACAGACAGAAGATTTTAAAAGGCATGAAATCCCAGCCAGAGGGTGCTCCCTTCTTACCCACTTGGATAAAAGAATTCTGTCATCCCAGCAGTCTTCCAAATATGCCACCTCAAAACCTACTTGGAAAGAAGTCAGTCATAAATAAATAATCAACTCAAGATCATTTTATCTTAGAGCAGAGGAGTTTATAGCTTTATTGGACATTGACTTGTTTCCTCTCAGCCACGAAGAGAAAAAGACCCAAACAAAAGTCCCTACATTTCTTGTATAACTTAAAATACATTATATCATACTACATATTTATACTTCAATAAATCTTAATCTATAAAGCACATTTCGTATAATTATCAGAAAATCTATAAACAAGCTCCATTCTGCCTCATATCTCCATCAACTGGCCTTGAGTTTATTACTATGCTTTTTAATAGGCTCATGCAACTCTCACCTTCCATTTTTAAATTTGATCCAAGTACCAGATATATCCAGAATCTCTGGAACTATGTAATATTTGTATTCACATGGATCATTCTCCACACAATGAAGCCCATCATATATATATAAAAAAAAAAGCCTTTTCTCATATTCTATATTTCAATTTCCAGAGTTTTCCACTAAACAGTAGAACCACAGTACTTGGGATTATCAGCCAAGGAGTAAATAATCCTACTACTACAATGTATTACTTTAATACATTTTTTTAAATGTTAAGACTGAAAATTTTTTAAAAAATTGATCAATTCTGGTAGTTAATAAACTAGCTGTTAATAGTCTAGTTGTTTATTTCTTAAACAGACACAGTCCATTCAACTTAACATATATGTAACAACTCCAATGCTACTTGAGATTGGTTAGTTTAAGATTTACAAATCTCCAAACTATTTTAAGAGAATTATCTTGGGCTCACCTCTGAAATACGTGGGAGAGCTGGCGGCTAGCTCTTAAGTAGAGTCCTACCCCAATACAACACCCTGGTGAGAGCACACTGGCTCTGGAAATCAGAGGTGACCTCCCCGAGGAATGTTCAGACATGGGGAAGGGGCTAACTCACACCCAACAACTTTGTACCAAACCCCGTAACAATTTACAGTGGAAGAAACACCTACCTACCTAAGTAGGATTACAGTACCTAGCACAGTGCCTCGTCTGTAGACAATGTGTAATAAATGCAGGGCTGCTTCTTTAGCCTGGTGTGCAACTCTGTTATACCAAAGAAATAAAAATAGCAAACCTGATTGTTAGTTGCCCACTTGTCAGGGAATTTTATCCTTAACAAAGATGAAGGCAAAACAGCCCAAAGAGACCATTACCTTTATGTTCATATTTGCCCTTCAACACTGCATTTATTACAAATTCTTCCCAAGTGTTGTATTTTCTACCTTTATAGTTTTACAATTATTTATCGTTTAGACTATCTACCTTTCAGTAATACCTAGAACAACACTTATATTCATTAATTAGATGTTTCCAAATTACAGACACGATGAGTAGTTCGAGTTTCCTACAGGTGAATGACTGCATTTAGATAAACTTATCAAAGTATTTGCATTATCTTCCCCAATCTAGATGTCCCATTCACTTTTGATGTTTTATCAACATCACTTCTTACCTGAGATCTTAAGGCTCATTTTACTTTGAAGTTTTTAGTCATCTTTTATCTTCTATTTTCTTAAATGCATATTCGAATTAGGTAAAAAGAAACAGAAAGGCAAATTCTTAAAAGATATCTTAAAAGTTTAAGATGGTTTTCAGATTTCATAAATTCCTCTATGTTGCCTTTTAATGTAGAAGGGAATGTATTCTTACAAAGAACATTTCAATGATCAACACAATCTGTCTAAAAAAGGAAACTTTTAAGAAAGGGACAAAGAACCAGGCAGTTCATTATTTGGAAATAGAAAATATAAACATCACATGGAAAATTTAGGTATTAATACCTGAATTAGTCTGAAATTTTCAGTTTCTAGGCAGGTATGACACCATTTCATTCAAGATAAAATAATAATGGTGAGTAAATATATTTTTACATTTCCAAGTGGATTTTCTGACAGTCAATAGGGAAAAAACTATTATGTAATATTTCATGTTTTAAATTTTGTCTTCATTTCTGAAGAAAAAGACCTGAGTGCTGATTTTTTTTTTTTAATTTCTCAAACTTTCACAACATTCAGAAGTTTTTCTGCATTGTGTCTTCTCTGATGTCTAAAAAGATTTGAGCTTTGACTATATGATTTCCCACACTGAACACATTCATACGGTTTCTCCCCAGTATGGATTCTCTGATGATTAATAAGCCCAGAATTCTGGCTAAAGGCTTTCCCGCATTCAAGACATTTGTAAGGTTTTTCTCCAGTATGGACTCTCTGGTGTTGCACAAGGATGGAGCTTCTGCTGAAGGCTTTCCCACACTCAACACATCCGTAAGGTTTCTCCCCACTGTGGATTCTTTGATGAAGAATGAGGGCTGAGCCCTGACTGAAATGTTTTCCACATTCATCACATATATGCTGTTTCTTCCGAGAGGGATTTCTCTTTCTTTCAAACCTGCCTTGGGGAAACAAGTTTCTCCGTATTTAAAAATCTGAGGAACACCTATATTCAGAGTGCCAGGAACTTCCTGAGATTCTGCTGCCGAAGGGATCTCCTGCTTTGGAGCCAGTGCTCCATTTTCAGTCCTAGCATCATCATCTGAAATAGACAGAAAATGTAAATATCATTCATATCCTATTTTAGGGCGAAAGAAAGAAAAGCTTTTTTTTTAATGAACTAAAAGTATGTTAGGAACACCTATAAATGCACTCTGAAAATTGGTGTTCAGGTTGCCTACTATCAAAACAGAAAAAAATGAAATGACTAATTATGAGGTTAGATAATAGCATAATGATGTAAAAGTTGTAGATATAACTTAAGCAAATAGGTTGTAAATGGCAGTCAGAAAACAAAGGACAAACAGATGGTGGATGCTAAGATGGTGAGGTAGAATAGTGATATTGTTAGGCCTGGATCAAACTTTGTTAAGAAAAAATTAGGAAACTGTTATAACGTTCTTGCGCTTTGATAAAAGGAGAAATCACTGATGTAAACAGCAAAACAGAAAAAAGCTATTTCTAAAATGAGTAAAATAAGGTAAGTCACAGCAAAGATTAGATTAAAAGCAGAACATGGGCATCCTGACCAGAAAAGAGCTAAAGACAAGCTTGGGGCCTCCTTTGTTAACTCAAGACACGACATTTCAAAACATCCTGAATAAGTAAAAGGTTTTCTATAGGGGCTGGCACTGTGGTATAGTGGGTAGAGTCACTGCCTGCAGCACCCATACGGGTAACAGTTCAAGTTCACTGCTGCTCCACTTCCAATCCAGCTCCTCACAAATGTGCCTGGAAATGCAGCAGAGGATGGCTCAAATCTTTCAGCCCCTGCACCCACGTGGGAGACCCAGAGGAAGCTCCTGGCTCCTGGCTTCGGATCAGCCCAGCCCCACTTATCATAGCCATCTGGGGAGTAAACCAACGGATAGAAACTCTCTATATCTCTCCCTCTCTAACTCGGCCTTTCAAATAAATAAATCCTTTTAAAAAAAATTTAGAAGTCAACTTTATAAAAAAAAAAAAAAAAAGGTTTTCTATAGAAGCATCCGCTCTGTTTGAAATATATCATGGTACTGAGAAAAATTTTTATTTCTAAGTCTCACTGAGAAACACCCAGTAAAAAAAACCCTGAATTACCAACATGAGGTACCCCCACCCACATGAAAGAAGAGGTAAGAGGAAGTCTCGTTTAACAATTTCCTGGGGGCTGGTGCTGTGGCGTAGTGGGTAAAGCCACCGCCTGCAGTGCTGGCATCCCATATGGGCGCTGGTCAAGCCTCAGCTGCTCCTCTTCCCAACCAGCTCTCTGCTGTGGTCTAGAAAGCAGTGGAGGAGGGCCCAAGTCCTTGGGCCCCTGCGCCCACATGGGAGACCCGGAGGAAGCTCCTGACTCCTGGCTTCGGATCAGCGCAGCTCCAGCTGTTGCGGCCAATTGGGGAGTGAACCAGTGAATGCAGGACCTCTCTCTCTCTCTCTCTCTGCCTCTCCTTCTCTCTTTATGAAACTCTGAATTTCAAATAAATAAATCTTTAAAAGAAAATTTCCTAAAACCTCAAGACTTAAAGAACAGACATAGAGGGTAAGCAGCAGCATTTAGAAAAGTGGTAAAGAGTAAATGAGTAACAAAAGAATAGTTAGGGAAGAAACCTAACAGAGCCCAAAGGGTTAGAGGGGGTTTGTGAAGCCTGGAAACTTGAAGAACAGATATGAGTGTGAAGGTTAAGGGGGGACAAATGGCACACTTTTCCAAAGGGTTGAAAAAGATTAGACTGCTGAAGTGAGGCTTATAAAAAAAGTTCATTGTAAAACTCAGAGGACAAGTTTTCTACCAATAAAATGCTACTTCAAACACCAAGGACAGGGGCTGGCACTATGGCATAGTGGGTAAAGCTGCTGCCTGCAGAGCTGGCATCCCATATGGGCACCAGTTCAAGTCTTGGCTGCTCCACTTCCAATCCCACTCTCTGTTATGGCCTGGGAAAGCAGTGGAAGATGGCTCAGGTCCTTGGGCCCTTGCACCTGCGTGTGAGACCCAGAAGAAGCTCCTGGCTCCTGGCTTCAGATCAACCCAGCTCCAGCCACTGTGGCCATCTGGGGAGTGAACCAGTGGATGGAAGACCTCTCTCTGCCCCTGTCTCTCTGTAACTCTTTAAAATAAATAAATCTTAAAAAAAAAAAAATACCAAGGACAGTGGTTCTCAAACTTTATTTCACAGAATAATATTCCATGAAACATTTGAAACCGCAGATTCTGAGCAGCCTTTAGCCCCACCCTTGATTTTCTGATTAGCTAGCACTGTCCCTTCAGATGAAAAGAAAACCTACTCAGACCTCAATCTGTGGCATACTAACATCACCTCTACCTACCTGAAGCAGTGACTCCCCAAGCAGACTCAACAAATTTCATTTAAATTCACACAAATATGAAAAAGAAATGGGTAAGGTTTAGAAGTATACTGGGTTGTATCAGTGTTCACACAGTATATGGTATTCAGTTGCTAATGTATTGGGAATGAATGATTTGAGTGAGTTATTACAATTATGAGCTTTTAAATTTTTTCTGTGCTTCCCATATTACAGCAGAGGAGTCTATTTTGTATAAATACTTAGAAAGCGTGAAAAATTTACCCCAAATATCATTTACATAAAAGAAGTTTCTTGTAAAAATAAATAACTGGGGCCAGTGCTGTGGCACAGTGGGTTAAGCTGCCACCTGCAACACCAGCATTACATATCAGAAAACCAGCTGGAGTTTCAGCTGCTATGCTTCTGATCCAGATCCCCACTAGTCTCCTAGGAAAGAAAGAGAAGATGGCCAGAGTATGTGGCGCCCTGGCACCCACATGGGAGACCCAGATGGAACTCCAGTTTCCCAGTTTCAGCCTAGCTCAGCCCTGCCCTGGCCATTGCAGCCATTTAAGAAGTGATCAGTAGATAGATTTCTTTCTCTGTCTCTCCCTCTTTCTTTGTCATTCTGCCTTTCAAATAAATAAATATTTTTTTTAAAAAAGTAGAATGTTGAAGAAAAAACAGAAAGACTTCCATGATACACAACAAACAAAAAGAAATCAGAAGAGGCTGCAACTCAGCTTTTGTTAACGGCAGGATCAGGGACAATAATTAAAGTAAAAAACATAAAACAGAAGACAAATAAGCATTATATAAAAAGTAAATAAAGGAAACTGGTCAATAGGTGAGTCCCTGCTCAAAATAAGGCAGATGCTAGCCTGGCACGCCCAGGTCTTCAGTAAGAGCTTGGACAGTTAAGAAAAGGCTGAAGATGATAACGTCTACAAACAGGCAGGTCTAGGTTGAAAAGGAAGAAAAGGCTACTGATGTTAAAGTCTAGCAAATAAAACTGAAGGAAGCAAATTGATTATTACAGGAAAGAATCAAGATCTTTCAAGTGTGTCTATGTCTAGGGAATTAGGTCAAGAATAGTCCTCCCGCACACAGCACCAGAGATAGCACTGGCCAAAAGGTTCACACTCTACAGTCCACAGTCCTCACCACAGTGCCGTAGGGAATGGAGCTCCCAGGATGCCCACTTGAGCTGGTTCTCCACAGCATCAAGCTCAGAACTTGGTAACCCTTGAGCCTCTTCTTGAGACACTATCTCTTCTACAAGCACTTCCCGCTTTCGCCGACGAAGAGAAACCTGGAAACGGTGAGACTTGGTTCAGTTGAGAAGGAATTTTGATAGGAATCAGAACAAAACACACGTAAGACAAACTATACAAAACATATGCAGGTAATTTTAAGTTTGTGGGAAAAGGGGTGGGCATGTGGCCCAGCAGTTAAGCTGCCCGTGTCCCACATCTGAGTACCTGTCGTGAGTCCTTGACCTAGTTCAAGGCCCAGCTCTGCTCTCAATTTCAGCTTCCTGCTAATGTGCACCCTGAGAGACAGCAGGTGATGGCTCAAGTAGTTAGGACCCTGCCACTCACATGGGAGACCTGAATTAGTGCCAGGCTCCCAATTTTGGCCTTGCCTCTGCACCACAGTGCCAGCCCTGGGAAAAATAGAATTAGAAGGCAAGTTTATTTTGGTGCAAAACTCTCTGAAATCAAAACTGTTTTTTCACAACATACAATTTTCTTTGTTTTTTAAAGATTTATTTATTTATTTGAAAGGCAGAATTACAGAGAGGCAGAGACAGAGACCTTCTATCCACTGGCTCATTCCCCAAATGGCCACAACAGCCAGAGCTGGGCTAATCTGAAGCTAGGAGCTTCTTCTGGGTCTCCAAAGCGGGTACAGGGTCCCAAATACCTGGGCTATCTTCTATTGCTTTCCCAGGGCACATCAGAGAGCTGGATCGGAAATAGAGTGGCCAGGTCTTGAACTGGAGCCCATACGGTTTGCCAGTACTACAGGTGGTGGCTTTACCTGCTGCACCACAGTGCCAGTCCCCATAATATACAATTTTCATGAGCTTTTTGAAGACTCCTCATATGCAGACTGCAAAACTGCTTTGCACCAAAATAAACTTATTTTTATAATTTCATTTCCCATTTTTGAAAGACCCTCATTCACTGTAGAGGCGTAAATGGCAAAACAGCACAAATAACAAGGAGCAGCAAGGGGAGGAAAAAAACATAAACATAATTTGAATTTAGTTGTGAAGAATTAGCAGAATTTAGCAGATTCACCTACTACTAAGACAGCACTTCTAACCCAGCAAAGTGGCGTAAGGCTCACCGGCTGTCCGGGGTCATCAAGTTCACTCTCCAAATCCTCCAGCACGGCCACTGCCTCCTCCCCATTCTCTGGATGATGCTCTCGAACCCATGTCTGCAGCTCCTTGGGAAGGATAGCAACAAACTGCTCCAGCACTACCAACTCCAATATCTGTTCTTTTGTGTGGGTCTCTGGCCTGAGCCACAGACGGCAAAGTTCCCGGAGCTGGCTCACAGCTTCGCGTGGCCCTGGTGAATCCTGGTATCCAAACTGCCTGAACCGCTGTCGGAAAACCTCCGGGTCAGGGAGATGATTCCAGGGGATACTGGATCCCTCTTCACCATCGGGATCCTCCTCCAGCTTCACTCGCAGAATTTTCTCCTCTTCCTCTGCATTTGGGATGATAAGTATGGAATCTTCTTCCACTGACTGTGCTGACATTCTGATTTATGATACTTCTGAAGACAATCAAGGCAGGATAGATGCCTCAGGAAAAGACTCCCTTTTCTTCACAGGCACTCCTGAAGCACAAGAAAAAAAGATAAATAAAAGACCGAATATTCTAACAATTTGGACTTATGAATAAAGTAAAAGATGTTTGTTCTTTTACTGGGATTAAAATTCAATCAGTAACTTATACCAGAAATTTGCAAACTACAGATCATGGCCAAATCCAGCCTGCTGTCTGTTATTGTACAATGTTCGTACCAAGAATACTTTTCACATTTTTATACCGCTTTCCTAGTTTTAAAATATTTCACAGCATATGCAAATGATATGCAAATAAAAAGCCTGTGTCCATAAACAATTTTACTGGTTCACAGTTCACAGTGTAATAGCAGAATTGGCAGAACTAAGTAATTTCAACAGAAAGGACCACAGGCCTGAAAACCCTAATAGTTAATACTATCTGGCTCTGTAGAGAAAAAGTTAGCCAACTGCAGTCTACAAATTCTACAAGCCCTACTTCAATAACTAAATGAACTGAAGTAAAGGAGCAGGCATTTAGCACACTATTTAAGACACCTACGTCTCCTATTGGACAGTCTGGGTTGGATCGTCAGCTCCTTACTCCAGCTTCCTACAAGTGCAGACCCTGGAAGCAGCAGTGACGGCTCCAGTAATGGGGTTCCTGTCACCCACCTGGGAGACCGGGCTGGGGTTCCCAGCTCCAGCTTAGGTCCAAGCCCAGCTGCTGCGGGCATCTGGGGTGGGAACTGGTGGATGGAAGCTCTGTTTCTCAACCTCTCAAATTTTTTTAAAAAAATAAAACACAGTAAAGGCTCTTACCCAGGTTCCCCCCTTGCTCTTTTTACCTCCTGACTGAGCCTAAGGCTTCCTCCTGTGATCCCCACCACCACATGCCTGCTCTACTTCAAAACTTGAGTGCCAAACTCTCTTTTAAGAAAAGAAAGGGAGTGGTGGGAGTTCAAGTAAGAACAAGTAAAAACGTCAGTGTTTTCTAAATGCACTTAACCCTGAACCCTTTATCTGCAAGTCAGGACTGGGGTTCCGACACACTTAGGTCACCACAAAGTTAGCACCACTTGTTTTTGAAAAAGTGTTCCTATCTTTCAGAACTTCTTTGACTTAAAATATATATGAGAAAATATTCGCTTGCTCAGTAACAGATCACAGCATTTTTAAATCAAATTAATATTGAACAATATCCCACCCAATATAAAAATACTACTCACCGCACCATAGATAGATTTAAATTTATAAAGACAGGCATTAAGCACAGCAAATTCTATTAAGAAAAGGCATTTTCATAACCACCTTAACTTCTTGTAGTAGCCGGGAATCTTGTCTTTAGGCTTATGTGTAGAAAGTTTGTGCAATTTCTAACCCTTAGTATTTGCGAAGTCCTGTCAGTGCCATTGTTCCATTGTTTACATTAGGAATGTACCGCGCAGCTACTCTAAGTATTTACTGAGGATCCCAGAAACTGAAAAAAAACATTAACTTAAACGAATTTTATTGTAACTCCATCAAGATGAATACTAGGAATCAACGAAGACCTTATCAGGCGACCCACAAAGATATAACTAAATACTCTGGAGGGTGGTGGCCTTAGAAATGGCATCCGGCCCAGAGGCTCCTATTCCAGGCCCCTATCATATCAATGACCCAAACATTTCTATATATGAAAGAAATGTCTTTTCCTTTTGTTTTACGACTCTGTTAGCGGGACGTGGAAGGGAATGCCGGGAGCGCAGCCTCACAGTCCCGGCAATGCTGGGCGGGCCGCCTGGTCGCCAAGTGACCTCCCCAGCCCCGCCCCCACGTCCTCCAGCCCCTCTGGGCACCCACGGCGGCGGATCTCGGAAGACCACACACAGGCCACCGTGTGACCACAGCCTCGGAGCTACTGCACTTCCGCCCGCGGCCGGTAGGACTGCAACTCCCGACAGCGCCCGCGCAAGACCCGCCCTGTCCCCACCTCCGCCCGAAACGGCTCCCAGAACCCTCCGCGAGAGGCCAGGGCCTCAAATAGAACAAAACCGGCCGGTGGGGGAGGGGGAAAAAGGAGGGTCGCGGAGGACACAGGGGACGGAGGGCTCTCCGCGACTGTCGGAGACCTGCGGAGGCTTCCAGGCTACCCCTTGCTGCCCGCTAACTCCCGGGCTCAGAGACCACGGCCGTTCCTCCGCACCTCCCAGGAAGCTGCGGCAAGGTCCCCGCCAGGCTTCCTCGCGGGCGGCTGCGAAGAGGTCCGCAGACCCTGGCCCAGCGTTCCCCTCCCCCTCACACCCGTCCCCCAACTCCGGCGCAAACCTCTGGCTCAGGAACCGCAGCAGCTTCGCTGTCCACAGCAGACGCAGAAACGCCGCACACAAGCCGTTTCCCAGAAACCCCCGGCGCAAACTGCTTCCGGTCTGCGGGCCCGTGGAGGCGGAGACAGGCAAAGCCCCGCGTTGCCATGGAGACGAGCCCCTGGCGGGGGCGGGGCGGGTCTGGATGACAATGAGCGCTTTGAGGCTGTGCTTGGCCTGGTGCCTCTGCCTGAACTGCCTGGCGTTCTCTTGTTCCGCTTAGAAGAAAAGGGAGAACTGTACCATTAAGGTCGTCCTTAGTGGCACGGAGCCTTTCACATGCATTAGCTCATGTGGTGTGCACAGTAATCCTCTGAAAGAAGTAATAGAAGCTGTTAGGTATGAAAGGTGCCAGGTACTGGCCCTGTGATTTATATGTACCGTGGTGTTCATTTTTCACAATAACCCTAATGCAGGTACTTTAATTATGCGCATTCACAACCGAAATCATTGAGGCGCAAGTAAATAACTTGCCAGGGGGGCCGGCGCTGTGGCGCAGGGGGCGAAAGCCCTAGCCTGAAGGGCAGGCATCTCATAAGGGCGCAAGTTCGAGTCCGGCTGCTCCACTTGTGACCCTGCTCTCTACTATGGCTTGGGAAGGCTGTTAAAGATGGCCCAAATTCTTGGGCCCTTGCACCCACATGGGAGACCCGGAGGAAGCTCCTGGCTCCTGGGTTCAGATCAGTTCAGCTCTGGCCATTGTGGCCATTTTGGAAGTCAACCAGCAGGATAGAAGACCTCTCCTTCTGGCTCTACATCTCTAACTCTATCTTTCAAATAAATAAAATAAATGTTAAAAAAAAGGAAGAAGAAGTAACTACCATACTCAAATTAGAAAAACCAAAAACCTAGCTCATGACTCCTAACTGGTAAGTAAGAATTGAAACCAATACATAGCTTGACCTTTCGGCTCTCGGCAGCTATGCTGCAAAGCTTTCTTATGACCAGTGTATCTATCAAGGAATCAAGACGAGACGGGTTAACAGCCTGGGCAATGGGGTCACACTGCGTTAGCAGAATGCACAGTCATGCTCGACCTTCAGGCTGGACGTTGTATACCATAAAACAGCTGTGGACACAAAAAAAAAAAAAAAAAAAACGTAAATCCGATCGGTTCATTCCCGTTTAGAGGCCTCCAGTGGATCCTTCTACCTCAAACATGACATGAAAACTCACACTGGCCTGCGAGGCTCCCTGGGGTGTTGCCTGCCTCCCCTCTCTGGATTCAGCCCCTAGGCTCACTGTGGCCAGTCCTCAGCCTCACTGACTCCCCTTTTCCTCATGACAGCCGCCCACCCTTCACAGCACTATAAGGAGTGGTCTCTTTGGGTTATTTACCTATTTTGTTTTGCCTGTAGGAGCTTTAAGGGCAGGGATCTTGTCTGTATTGTTTACCAGAGTATCTCCCACCGAGCCCCAGGTTGCTGGTTGCATGGTATAGAGAACTCCTATGTATGTCTTGAATACTCACGAATGAATTGCCTGCTGGTTGCATTGCTGCTTTCGCTAGGTCACAGGTCAGGCATCAGAGCAAAAAGAGGCCTGCTATGTAGGGTTTGTTCCCAGAACTATAGGTGTAGCCTTCCAGAAGCATTTCAAGGCGCTCGGACTTCAGCTTTTCATCTCGTTCAGGAAAGTGCCGTCTGCAGAGCACCCTCAGCCTCTGTTGGATTCATGAACAAGGGAGCCAGTGAGGAGCCGCTGATGGTATGGCACTGCTTTTCACTGACCAGAGCTCATCTTCCCAAACCCCCTGCCAAGTCTTTTTCCATCCTTGTAGAAGACTTCAGAAATCCAGCCTTTTCATGCCCCTGCTTGGCCGCTGTTCCAGCTCCCTCTTTTGTTACTCCTAAATGCTCGCTCACTCAAGGCATTTTTGTTTTTGTTGAGTTTGAGTTAAAAGTTTTTGCATCTAATTAGCATTGGAAGAAAAGTAACAAAGATCAAATAAAAATACTTGAGGAAGTTAAAAATGTTAAAAAGTTTTGCAAAACCCTTGGCCTGTGATCCCTTGTTCTGTTATTCCGAATTCTTTCTAAAATAGTAGATGGACTCCACAATGAGATTGTCTTCACTAATTTACTCTCTCAAAGGTAGGGACAAACAACAGCTGTTTTGAAACATCATCCTTCTAAATCCCTATTATGTGGACATTTTCCTGAGTGGTAGCCCCTCTGGCCATCCTGAAGATCTGGTCCAGATAGATCCTCTAGGCAACTCAGGGAAGGGAGCTCCACACCATACCCACATGGGCAAGGCTTGAACTGTGGCTGATCTGAGTCTTGACAAAACACCTGTGATCCTCCCAGAACAAGAGAACCTGGGGGGCTTATGAGCAGCTACTAAGAGTCCATTTCCCTCTTAGCTCCCTGTTTTTCAAAGAGGCTGTCTTGAGGCAGTTTCCTGTGGGTTCTGATGAGCTTCCTGTCTCACTACCCTAAGACTACAGGTGCAGACCATTGAGAGACTTCACTGCAGCATGGCTTCAACCCCCCAGCAGCAAGATGTTCCACAATGCTTGTTGCAGTCACCTGCGCCCTTTGTTTTGCTGTCATTATTTTCTTGTATGGACAACAGCACACACCTGAGGAGCTGGCAGCTGGCCTGTCTCACGTGCATTATCTCTGTAAGTAAGAATCTTTCTAAATCCAAAAAGGGCTCATTTCTTTACAAGCTATGTCCTTCAATCTTGCCTTGTTACCAGGAATCTCACTCATTAATTAGTGATCGAACAAACAACAGATAACTACTATGCCGGAAAGCTAGAAATGAATAAAATGAAGCTCTAATTCTTTTACCATTGCCATCTCGTTAAGGAGACAGACAAGTATTTACAGCACTTAAATGAGGTGGAGTGCTGAGGCGGATGCAGGCACCCAGAGAGAGCAGTGGAGGAAGCGAAGTTTCCACATTGAGAGGAAAGCACAGACCTTCAGTTTTGATGTTGGCAAATCCCACCCACGAATGAGCTTTCCCAGACTTCTCTAACAATGATTTTGCCACTCTCAGTCTTTCAGGTCAAAAATATCTCCCTCTGCGCACTTTTCATACAGTGTTTAAAGAGTCATTTAGCTAATGAGTGCACTGCACCAGGAATCTTTGTATTGCAAGGAACTGGAAATCTAACTCTGGTAGAAGTTGGTAGCTTCTACATCAAGTTCTCCACCTCTAACTTCTTTTTTTATTTTTTAAGATTTATTTATTTATTTATTTATTTGAAAGGCAGAGTTAGAGAGAGGTCTTCCATCCACTGGTTCACTCCCTAGGTAGCTTCTACATCAAGTTCTCCACCTCTGACTTCTTTTTTTATTTTTTAAGATTTATTTATTTATTTATTTATTTATTTGAAAGGCAGAGTTAGAGAGAGGTCTTCCATCCACTGGTTCACTCCCTAGATGGCCACAATGGCTGGAGCTGTGCTGATCCAAAGCCAGGAGCCAGGAGCTTCTTTTGGGTCGCCCATGTGGGTGCAGGTGCCCAAGGACTTAAGCCATCTTCCACTGCTTTCCCAGGCCATAGCAGAAAGCTGGAAAGGAAGTGGAGCAGCCAGGACTCAAACTAGTGCCCATATTGGATGCTGGCACTGCAGGCAGCGGCTTTACCTGCTACACCACAGCGCCAGTCCCTCCCCCTTTAACTTCTAACATACCCAGACCTTTTGTATTTGGAAAGGAATGCAACATGTCCAGCTGTGGGCAATAATTTTGACTGACCTAAGCTATCTGATCATTGTTTCCCTTTGCTACATACTCATTTTGCCTCACTGACAGCTTGGAACGGCCACATTATTCAGTTTTGGTTAATGAGATGTAAGGAGAAGTGGTAATTTGTATCTTTCAAGAAATTTTTTTTTTCAGATTTATTTTATTTATTTATAAGTCAGAATTACAGAGAAAGAGGAAGAGAGAGATCTATCTGCTGGTTCACTCCCTCAATGGCTGCAATGGCCAGAGCTGAACCAGGCCGAAGCCAGGAGCCAGGAGCTTTCTCCAGGTCTCCCACATGGGGGCAGGGGGCCCAAGGATTTGGGCCATCCTCTGCTGCTTTCCTAGGCTTATTAGCAGGGAGCTGGACTGGAAGTGGAGTGTGGGGAGCAACCGAGACTAGACTAAATTACTGGAACTTGTCGCTCCCCCTCTTCATGGAGGAACGACACTAAACCCTGCCTAGGCTTCATAACTGCTCCCCACAGATCCCCCTTTCTTTTTATTTTTTGGCGTTGATACGCGCCTGTCTTCGGTGTCCCGCGGCACACACTCTGCTCTACTTGCTAGAGTTGCCACAGGTTCTTACAAGTCCTATCAATCAGGCAAACCGAATCCGGGTCCTCTCTTCGCCATGTTGTGAGGAGGTTTTTAGGCGCTGATACGTGCCTGTCTTCGGTGACCTGCAGCTCATACTCTGGTCGAGCCGCCTGCTGGTGCTTACCGCCTTACTAATCAGGCAGACCAAATCCAAGCCTTCTCATTGCCATATTGTGGGGAGGCCTATTGGTGTTGATTCGTGCCTATCTTCGGTGACCTGCAGCTCATACTCTGGTCGAGCTGCCTGCTGGTGCTTACCGCCTTACTAATCAGGCAGACCGAATCCAAGCTCTCTCATTGCTGTGTTGTGGGGAGGCCTTATTGATGTTAATTCGTGCCTGTCTTCGGTGACCTGCGGCGCATAAGCTGGTAGCCGCCCGCAGGTGCTCATCGCCTCACTAATCAGGCAGACCGAATCCAAGCCTTCTCATTGCAGGATTGTGGGGAGGCCTTTCTATTTCTCTATTTCTCTATCTCCGGGCATTCCTATTTCTCCCATTTTACTTCTGTCTGCCAACATTCCTATTTCTCTCACTTTACTTCTAAACTTCTGTTTCTCTTATCCCCGCGGCTTCCCGGCGCCCGCCCCGAGGCTGCTTCTCGGCGGCTTTCCGGCTCTGAGCCGCTTCAGCCCGCACCTCTCTCATCTGCGCGGCTTCGCACTAACCCAGCGTTCCCTATCTACTTGTGGCCCGCACGCTCTCTCTGCGCACGGCAGCCTCCGCGAGTCACACAGCCCCAGCTCACGTCTCCGCCACTAGCATTCAATCCAAGTTCCCCGGGCTAGCCTGGCGAATTCAACCCAGCTTACGTCTCCGCCCCACGATTTGGCTTCCCGTCCTTTGCTCCCCGGGCTAATCAGACGGATCCCAATCTGGCTTATGTTTCCGCTTCTGGTTTCAACTTTTCGCCCCTTATTCCCGGGCTAACTTGAGAATCTCAAAGTGGCTTTCGTATCCGCCTCGGCCTGCCCCCCGCGGCTTCAATTTCCCTAACATTTTTGTCTACCCGGTATGTTTCCCCAAGCTTTCCTCCAACAATACTCCTCCCTCATTTCTCCTGGCCTCTCCCCACAGTCCGCATCCGAGTCTGTTTGTTCTAGCTTTCACTTTCGCTTTCAACCTTAGAGATTTCTCCCAGCTTCCCCCCGTAGTCCGTATCCGAGTCTATGCCTAGGCTTTCAATAGCTTTTTCCGGCACCTTTTTCGTCTGGCTTTTCCCTAGGCTGTTTGCTAGTCTCTCTCTCCGATATTTTCCCATTTCTTCCCGTTTCTTCCCTCCTAAGTTTCCTATCCGTCCTAGGTTTCCTATCCGAGTCACGGCACCATTATGTCGCTCCCCCTCTTCGTGGAGGAACGACACTAAACCCTGCCTAGGCTTCATATCCGAGTCATGGCACCATTATGTCGCTCCCCCTCTTCGTGGAGGAACGACACTAAACCCTGCGCTGTTCTTTCGTCTGCTCGGCCCTCCCCGGGTTTGCTGCTGGTTCTTCCCGGGTTGGCTACCGACCCTTCCACCTCCGTGGAAGGGCGGTTCCCCCTGCCACATTCCCCACTTCTGTGGGGGAGCGGCACACCGCCGGCCGGCTCTCTCGGGGGCTGCACAGGTGTTCCCCTTAGATGTTCCCCTTAGATGTTCCTGGTGCATGCCGTCTCTCTCCTCCTTTATAGTCCTCCTCCGCCAATCCTAACTCAGCTGCCCACACGCCGAGTACGCTGCTCTCCTCCAATCAGGAGCAAGTCCTACAGTTTATTGGTTGAACTGGAGGCAGCTGTGTAGAAGCTGTTTTCTTCTCTCCCAGCACCATATTGTGGGAGAGCAGGTGCATAGAATAAGTCTTAATTCCAGTAACTTAGTCTAGTCCGAACTGCTCCCCACAGGAACTGCTAAGACTAACTCTATGCATCTGATCTCCCACCATATGGCACTGAGAGGGAATAAACAACTTCCACACAGCTGCCTCACCAACTCGACTAACAAGCTGCAGGAGCTGATCCTGCCCCTGATTGGAGGAGAGCAGCATGCTCAGCACGTGGGGAGAGAACACCAGGAGAGTTGGGATTGGTGGAAGAGGACTATAAAGGAGGAGAGAGACAACATGCAGGAGAAACATCTGAGGAACCCCTGAGAGAGCCGACTGGCGGTGTGCCGCTCCTCTGCGGAAGGGGGGGAAGCAGCGGGGGTGCTGCCCCTCCGTGGAGGTGCGGGAGGGAGCGGCAGCAAACCCGGGAAGGGCCAGGGAAAGAGAACAGCGCGGGGTCCGGTGTCGTTCCTCCGCGAGTGGGAGAGCGACAGTGGAGCAGCTGGGACTTGAACTGCTATACCACAACACCAGCCCTGGTTCTGCTTTTGTTTTGTTTTGTTTTGTTTTTTGACAAGCAGAGTTAGTGAGAGAGAGAGAGACAGAGAGAAAGGTCCCCCTTCCATGGATTCACCCCCCAAATGGCCGCCACAGCGGGCCTGCTGCGCTGATCCAAAGCCAGAAGCCAGGCACCTCCTCCTGGTCTCCCATGTTGGCGCAGGGTCCCAAGCACCTGGGCCATCCTCCACTGCCTTCCCGGGTCACAGCAGAGAGCTGGACTGGAAGAGGAGCAACTGGGACCAGAACCCGGCACCCATATGGGATGCCGGCGCTGCAGGTGGAGGATTAACCCAGTGAGCCATGGCACCGGCCCCTGTTTTTGTTTTTAATTAACATATAGTAAGTTTGGCCCTTTTTTCTTTTAGACATATAGTTTTGTGAGTTTGAATTACATATATGTATTTGTGAACCTACCAAAATCATGATACACAATAGTTCCATCACTCCATAAAATTCTATCAAGTGAACTTTTTTTTTTTTAAGATTTATTTATTTATTCAAAAAGCAGTTACAGAGAGGCAGAGGCAGAGAGAGAGAGGTCTTCCATCCGATGGTTCACTCCCCAAATGGCCACAATGGCCAGCGCTATGCCGATCTGAAGCCAGGAGCCAGGAGTTTCTTCTGGGTGTCCCACACAGGTACAGGGACCCAAGGACTATGGCTGTCCTTTATCCCTTTAAAGAGTTTCCCTTATCATTATTGGATGTTGAATTTTGTCAAACACTTATTCTGCTTCAAATGATATGACTATGTATTTTATTTCTCTTATTACAGATTACCTTGATTAACTTTTGGTTACTGAGCCAACCTTACAGTTCTGAGGATAAAGCCCACTTTGTCCTGGTATTTTGTTCTTTTTATAAATTGCTAGATTCAGTTTGCTAATATTTTGTTGAGAATTTTTGTGCCTATATTTATGAAGCATATTGGATCATGGTTTTCTTTTCCTGTACCATC